CTTGGCAACACTGGAAGAGGATAGCTTTCGGATAGCGCATCAAGAACCGGGTTGACCGGGTACTTGGTACCACCGGTACTTAAGAAAACCTGGTACCGTAACGTTTTCATTTTTTTAGTACCGACTTGGTACCGAAATACCGGGTCTTTTGACAACACTAGTTATACATAATAAAAACAGTTTGATTTCATGAAACTGTTCCTTTCATTGTACGGGACGGTACATTTTGCAGGGCAGTCCTTTCTTTGTGAGTTTTATTTCTAATTTGTGTTATGTCAATATACTATCCTAAAGCACACACAAACTGTGGCAATATTGACTCCTGCAATGCTTCGTCTTTGGAATGCTATATACAGGAAAGTACTTAGGCTCTTTGCCACCAGACAGAGAAGTCGACTCAAAAACAGAGACTATATGCCTTGTGAAACGGATGGCTGTTTTCATAATTTAAAGGTAAGGGAACTCTGGGCCTTGTCATGGCTGCTGTGAAGCGTAAGGTGTTTGGGGCATGGTGCCACTCTGGGATTCTGCTGAATGGAAGAGTAATCGGAAACACTGGCAAAATTTTGATTAAAGAGGGAAAAATGGTTGCGAGGTGAGCATAAAAGAGGTAATGAATAAAATGGCTGAATTGTTAGATTTTCATAATGAGAGGAAGATGCTTTGTGGACGTTGGTAATCACCGTGAACATTATGGCCAGTGATGGATAAATACCTATTATGCAAGCAAGCAGGAACCTAATTTGAGAGGGATTTTATTTGTGCTGAAGTAACCTAATTACTGTATTATAATAAGGATCAAGATGGAGGGGCACTTCATATACACCTGTATTGAATACCATTATATGCAAAACAACAAACAGCTGTCTGCTATTAGGCCTCGCATTGTGTGAGAGATGTGGATTGCTCTTTTCCTATGTTGTTATCATAAGAATAAAGGAAAACTAGGTGAGGGTGTGAAATAATGACCCCAGCACCATTATCCTGTGCATGCTAGATTTATGTTGTAGTCTTTTGCAGGAGGTAATAAGCCGCTCCTGAAATGTGTGCAGTTGCTCGTTTCTGTCTACACTGTGCAAGAGATGACCTTTCTTTAGTCACCATTAGAGCCCGACCGATAAGGGTTTTTTGGGGGCCGATACCGATATTAGGGAGTAAAAAAAGACCGATGCCGATATTCTTTGTGTAGGCTATATTATAGTACAGTATAGTCAAAACTTTTGACTGGTACTGCATATAGAATACAGTATATAGCCTACATATACAGAATATATATACCAAGCGGCAACCTCCCGGTCTCTCGCTTGAAGCCAATACGGAAGTGACTAAAACTGCAATTCATCGACTGACCGCTAGAGGATGGCTCCAAAGGGGAGTCAGTCCCATAGACTCCCCATGTTAAAATGCCCAACTTTACAGCAGAAAAAAACGTTTACAGCCTGGTACAAAAAGTGCTTTTGGTCTATATAGGTAATTTTGCCCTTCATGACAACTGTGAGGGGTGTGAATTGTTTTATAACTCATCCGTTTAAATTATATTAAGCCTTAAAGTTCTGCATAATTAAGGGCGTGGCCACTTGAGTGACAGGTGGACTGCCGCTGTGCTCCAGAGTGTGAAACTCGCTAGACTGTGAAACTTAGAAAAATGGCTTTATAACAACCAGACAAAAAGTTAAACGTGAGTGGATACCGTTTTGCAACCAATTTATTTGCAATGTTCGCTAACATTAAAGGATGCAAGACATACTTAGCCTATTGTTTTTACATCGAACTGAATGAAAATAGCTTAACCTTAGAACGACTTGTGGATTGATGTGAACGCCAGCAAGAATAATGCTCAGAATGATTGTGAATTAAACATCTCCGATGACGTTCATTGCAATGTTTTTTATCGATTTACAAGAAAAGGTATGAAACGGATTTAATTGCGTACAGTAACTGATTATATGTGATATGCTGTCATGGCATTCGACTCCTCACACATGCAGAAGTGGGCAGCCCTAGACTGAGAGCTGGCATCTGCATTATAAAAAGAAAAAAAAAACTTGAAAGATTATTTACGATTAAGTATTGTTGCCAAGTTATCTAGTCGTTGCTTGTTTACAGTGCTTTGTTATATGGAGCAGTTTGTTAGATCGCGATCTATCTGATTTGTTTGTCTAAAGAAGTGCCGACAGATGTATGAAAGTATACAAGTCACACCGTAATTTAAAAGCGCAGACTTTAATGTACAGTAAAAACAGAGGCAGAATACCATATAACTCTAGGCTGGCACGGTAATATTGACGAACGGCTAAACAGATGCAGAGCACCGTAACTTAATTTGAGCGATTTAAAACAAAGTCAAAGAGCGGTAACTGATAATACTGTGTTCTGCCTTGGTTTCTCCTGGGCTTTTCTCCAAGATACTTATACACATGATAAATGAGGTCATATATGTCCCATAATTATCAATAACTAATTTCAACCAAGTTATGGTGTTTTGTCTTTGCACGGCAGCACTGCTGTCACCATAGATGGGCGTGGTTTCAGCA